CAGAATGGGAAGTGAAAGAGAAAAAAGCTTATTAGTAGCGGATTTAAGAAACATATGAGAGAAGAACTTTTGAACTTAACAACAAGTTGGAAACCACAGAATTAGCAGTTAATTGTAGCATGTTTTTTATTGATTTCCGTACTAAAGTTGCTGGCCATATTTTTCAAAAATGTTCCCAGCATAACAGTTGCGTGCCATTTATTTCTTATAGCACAACAGTTGTGCGCCATATATTTCTTCTAACACAACAGTTGTGCGCCATATATTTCTTCTAGCACAACAGTTGCTTGCCATATACTCCTCCAGAACAACAGTTGCGCCCACACTTGTCCTAGCACAATTGTTGAAAATTCGTCATTTTTGAATGAAAAATGTGAATGATTTCACTACTTAGAGCAGTGTTGTCCAAAGTTTTTGAGCCACGGCACACTTTAGGGGTAAGCCATGACCAAAATCGCACAGAGCATACGGTCATTACCAAAAATTCATTTTGTACATCATTTTCTACGGCACACAGTTTGGACAACACTTACTCAGAGTTATGTTTTCCATATTGACTATCAACATTATAGACCAATGGCTACATCTTTAGCTGTATCCTCGTGACTATAAAAAAAAATGCTATTTACTTATTTAATAATAAGAACTATCTTTCATCAGTAGCAATTTATTTGAATGTCAGTTTCTGCCAGACAGACAAAGCACTTTCAATTAATATTAGCTTTCAATGATAATCTAAGAAATACGCCAAAAAAAATATAAGCGAAAGCAAAGCAAATCCGACATGAAGCATGAGCAACAGCAAGCAATATTATTTTTGCATAACATCACTATGAAGTGGATGTATTTTTAAGTACACATAAAGGAAAGAGAGGATAACGAATAACGAGGTACAGTCATTTCAAAATGTGATGAAGCAAATCCCTAACCGACATTGCGATGAAACATCTAAGTGAAGCAGCAAGTAGCATTAACGAAAAAAAAAAAATATGGAAGGGAAATTATTAAATAAAATTTATACATTTTCCTCTGCTGAAGCACATAATGTTGAAGGAGAGGAAGCAAAAGGCTTTTTGACTCTTAAAGCACAGAAAAAAAATAATTTTCTTTTCTTTTGTGTTTGGGATCTTTTCTGTTCCTTTCATTACTTTCAATACAGTAATTCATAAAATTTAACATGTTTCCATCTCATTTTATGGATAAAAGAGAATAAAATAATTTCCTTTGCTGCAATTTTGTTGTATACAAGCTATCCTCTCGACATTTTAGCCTTTTTCTCATGAGAAATTTTCGCTTGCCAAATTATCCATTTTGTCTCATCAGCATTCATTAGGAAATTTTTTCGGGGACAAACTTTTGAAGGTTAATGTGTTTTGACAATGATTCTTTGAAGCTTTTTAAGCGAAATTGGAATTATTAGTAATTTAATTCTGAGATTTAAAGTGAACAAAGCTTTAAATTCCAACTTAAGAGCTGGTAGCTTGAAAATAACAAAGTTGAAAAAGCTCTTGTTTTCTAAAAGTTTTCTTTAGATTTAATCGATTTAATACTTTATTTTAAATATCAAAGCATCATCATTACTTTATAGATAAAAAAACGTTGAAGTAGATAATTAGAGAAAATTTTAATGCAAATAAAGAAAAGCTCGAGGGTGTGGAATACTTTAATAACAAATATTGCGAGTTATTGAGCACAAAAGTTGTAATTACTAATATTTATGCAATGATTTAAATTGGTGTGGCAATGCTCGTGCAGACAAATTAACATTCTGTTAATGCTTCTTTAAATCAGTGAATTCGGGGGTCGCATATGAGGTTTCCCACCCAATGAATAGAATTGAGACTAAGTTGCACTGAAACTATTCCCTAATCTTAATTTGAACCAACTTATTTAGCTTTAATAATTCTCAGAACTAAAGATTTCTGCATTTGTAAAGTAATTTGTTGGCTTTTGATTTCCTCGAGTAACTTTCCTCATTGCTATTTACATCCAATCGTACAACTTAGTACTTGTTAAGATAAGTGAAACAGAAAATCAAATTCAAGACAGAGAAGTTTTTATTTGCTTTCAGCTGATGAAGAAAAAGTAGTCATGAGGTCCACGAGTTTGAAGATTGAAAGCGAACTTTCTCAGCTCAGAATTTAACGACTTGGGCACATTCTCACTATAGAGATTCGATATCCTAAATTCTTCTCTCATCCGACCATTGGTTACTCTTATAAGACACCAAAACCTATTTTTTGTCGACTGACAAACGGACTGACAGACAGACAAACAAAACGTGGACAGTTGTTACTTTTAAACATGAAAAAATGCGTTGAAAAGTTAGATTCATTCGACAGGTAAGGACGGAGGCATTACAGTTGAGGGGAAGAAAATTTTCTTCATTTTTAAATTTTCTCATTTAGTCGAGCAGAAATGGAAGGCAAAAAAAAAGGAAAAATAAATTAAGATTGAAACTTAAATGAAAATTTTCCATTAAAATGAGCAGCAAAAAAAAAACGTAAAAGAAGTTCAACTGCCTTTCATCCTTTTCTTCTGGTGTTCGCATTGTGGCATCGTTCATTCATGAATTGATCGTAATAATAACGAGCCTTCGAGAGTATAAAAGGTCGATAAGTTTTTCAATTACCCTCATCATGCGCCCATATAGAATGCGACCTTGTCTTAGATACTTGAAATCTGTTTCTATTTACCTTCACTTCCGAATTTTCAGCGCTTATGCGAAGCCCATATTTAACTTTTCATTGTAAATTTCATCATCAAGTGATTTCGTTCCCTTTTATATTTGACTTACTTCCATTTCAATAAATTTTTTATCGCTTGAATATTGTGCGGACCTTTATTTCTTTGTGAAGGCAAAAAAATTGTTTTTGTGAATTTTGATGGAGGGACCATATTTTTTAGATCTTTTGCTTTTGATCCTTCCTTATGTTTGGCTTCTTATGTTTAAAACTAAAGTTTTCGATCTTATTCAATTAGCTTAATTGATGTGAAACAATTTCAATTCATACTATCAGTAATCTTAAAACTCTTTAAAACTCTAATAATGTTTTATAAGCAAATAAATTTAAGTTTCAATAGTGAAAAATTCAAACTTAAATTTTTTTTCACTTCGAAATTTTGAATGTCAAGTTTAGCTTCATTCAATGCTTATTTGCTACTTAAATGATTGTAAAGTAATTAAAATGTGTGAGCAAAGCATCTTAAATGACCATCAATCAATAAATCATTGTAAAAAGCTCAAAATAACTTATAATAAAATTGTTGGACAAGTAAACTTTATGTAAACAAATTAAAGAGAAATGTGGAAGTATTTTAAAATGTCTATCCTTAGCAACTGCAGTTAAAACAAGCTTATCAAAGCTTTAAGCCTTGATTTAAACTTTAAAATCTTTTAAAAACACAAATCTTAAACAGTCAATTTAGAGATAGAAAATAATTGAAAATTCAAGGACAATGTTCATATTATGATATTAAACATAATGTTAATAGAGAACACAAAGAAGCGACGGGAAAGGATGCACAATATTATTTTATGATAAATATTATGGCATCTGATTATCCTCTTGTAAGTTTTCCTATTATTTTCCCAGCAATACTGTTGTTTTCATTTAAATATCAAATATGCAAAAGAGGAAGTTTGTGGCAGTAACGAGAACATTTATGAAGCAACAACAAAAGTACTACTTGGTGTAATTAATTTTTTGAGCATAGAGTTTATCAGTTTTGTATGGTAAAGCTGGGTAAAGCATTTTAGGGATTATTAAATGGCATTTATAAATAATTAAATTCTATTTCTATTTATTTACTTGCTTGTTTGGTTCACAGGAGGTGCCATTCCCTTGAAAGTTTTTGAAAATGGATATTAAAAACCAGCTCAATTGGATCAAAGATTGATCCTTTTTCTGAGAATTTATCTTGACAGTAACAGAAGTCAACGATGAATAACAACAATCGCTGCCTTAAGCTATTCAAAATAAAATTCTAATCCTTGGAACCAATATTAAAGCAGCATCCAATTGATTCCATCTGACTTAGCTAGATCATAACAATAACAACTTTCCATTCATCTCCTTACATTGGTCTACAGGAAATACACGAAGGAAAATAAGAGAACTAGTTGACATCTTTGGCCCAACATTTTACTGTATGCTGCATTGTTTGCATTCATGTAAAAAGATAAAAGACAAACACTTTGGTGAAAATTTCTTCTTCCACTTCCTTCTTCTGCTCTTTCTTTGGATGGTTTTATAAGGTTCAACTCAAGCAATTTAAATCCCATCATCATTGTAAACAATGTTAGAAAGTTTCCTTTGCACACGTTTCATGCTTATACTCTGTTCCTTGCATTTCACTGTAAAGTAAATACACCAAACATGCTGTAACATGAAAAGCTTCATAGCATTAAGAAAGCAATGGTAAAATGGAATTTTGAGTGCATATATAGAAATCAGCATGCAATATGAATATGAAAAACTCTTTACCCATGATGCTATTTATTTTTATGAATATTACTATTATTACAAGACATGGAATATGTTTGTTCTTTTGTGTTTACATGATTTTAATTAATCAGTGCAAATATGAAATTTTCAAGGATTTATGTGTTATATTTTCTGCATAATTTCACTTTAGAAATCTGCATTATTAGTTATTCTTGGTGGCTGTTTTGTTCAAGACTCTAATTGCATTGCAAACAGAGAGATTTAATTAAGTTTATTTTTTGCCGTTAAACAGTTTTTCAAAAATAACGGCTTAGAATTATTTAAATTATTAGTTCATTTCATTTCAGTTCAAGTTTCGTTAAAAATACATTCTAATGTTAACGGCTATTGCGAATTCAAAAAATAATTCAGTAAGGTAGTTCATTTTGTTTCAGTTCATTAAATTTAAAATTTCAATTGCCGTTAAAATTGATATTTTTGAAAATCTCTGAAAATTCGAATTAATTAATTGATACCAAAAGTAATTTTTTTTTCATCTATAAAATATTTTTGTTATCCTTAAAAGCACTTTATTCAAAGCATAGTAATTTCTTGATAGAAATGGGAATTATTTGAAACATTTTATTGAAAACAAAGAAAGTTTTAATCTCATACAAAGAATTAAATCAGAATCAAAAAATGATAATGAATTAGAATTTAAATTGACTTCTGTCACTTCCATTATCAGTATTAAATTCTAATTCATTACCAACAGTTCTTGGAGCTAAACCAGCTTCCTCTTGATTATCGTCACTAAAGTATGTATCAATAATCGAGTACGCCTTCTCATAAATATCTTGATTTTCATGTTGCTGTAATCCTTCCAACTTATCAACAGCTCCAATTTCCTCCAACAATGTACAGAAGCTATCGAGTCCACCCATTTGATCGGCAACACGAAACAGAGCAGTTAATCCAGTCAATATGACTTGAATGATTCGAGCGTCTTTTGATGTCAATAATTCAGTGTAGGGCTTCACACACTGATATTTATTGACCAATTGTATAATTTGATCATTTGTACCGCCACTTGTTAAATTTGTTATGGCCCAAGCAGCTTCACGTTGTGCTCTAAAATCTCCATACTCTAGAACATTCATTAAAGGAACAAAAACATCACTTTCTAATGTCATTTGAATTTGTCGATGATTGCCAGCTGTGATGTTACTGAGCGTCCATGCTGCTTCCTTTACAATATTTTGCTTCTTATTTGTCAATAAATTAGCAATCGCTGGCAATACTTTAGCTTCCAATACCGCATCAGTTTGTGAATCATCGCCTGTTACAATATTTCCAATTGATCGAAGTGCTGGCGTAACAATGCTTGGTTCATCGACGCGAAGCAAGAATACTAAACGAGGAACACATCCAGCATTTACAACAGCTTGTACTTTATCAGGTGTATCGTCAGTTACATATGATAATGCCCAGCAAACATCTGAAAGTATTGCTTGATCCTCATGCATCAATAGATTCGATAGTGCTGGAAGTAATTGCTGTATTTTATCAAAAGCTGGTGCTGGATTTTTGTTGCGACACAAATTCGACATTAGCCAAACGACATTACGAAGGAATGATATTTCTATTTTTGGATGATGTACTAGTACCAGTAAATGATCAACAACTCCATGTTTAAGGACGATATCACGTGCAGCAGCTCCATCACCTGCGATATTTCCCAGTGCCCAAACTGCTTGTTCAGCTACATTAGCATATTTTGATGTCAATAAAGCAACAAATTTTGGAACTGCGCCTTGATTGACGACCATATTAGTTTGTTCTGATGTACCAGAGGCGATATTTGTTAATGCCCATGCAGCTTCAAATTGGATCTGATAGCTGAAAACATACGAATAAAATGGATTGCTGAATTAGTTATATTTTTGACTAGGTTATTTCCATTAAATTGCAAATTTTAAGCTTCAAATCATATCCGAGACATATAATATACATGACAATATGCAATTTTGATAAAATCAACCCAACTTACTTTTCAAAATCATCCAAAAACTTGATCAGAACTGGAACTAATCCAGTGTTTATGACAACGTCAATTGGTGGGTTTTTCTCACGACTGAGCATCTTACGGACAGTCTGAACAGCTCTAAATTGATTTGTTGGAATATTACTTTGAATATGAGTAATAATGTCATCCATAGTCATCGGAATTGCTTCCGGTGACTGAGCATTTGATTCCTGTAATGGCGATGGTGGTTCATTGATTTCAATGTTGCGGCGTTTCAGTAATTGATCTTCTTTCTGTTTCTTCCGTAACTCGATCGAAACCTCTTGACGACGTTGTCTCATTTCCTGTTTACAATGATAATGATTGAGGAAAAAATACGTTAGGAATAAAATTAAAAATTCAGCGCCAAAAAAATTATTTCAATGAACTTACTTGAGAGTTTTTGGCATTATTCTTGTATGCAGCCATACGACTTTGAGCCATCGAGTTTTCAGACATCTTATCTTTAGTCTAAATGATGTAAAATAAACAATTAATTGGTGGATTTGTGTAAAATTGTGAAATTTTTTTGAAACAAAAGAAACCGCATGAAAAGGTTTTTGTTAAAGTCATATTTTGTCGTAAATACATACCTTTTTATAAATATTTTAATCTCAATCAATAGTTTGTGGTTTAAAGAATAATTTTCAGGCAATTCACGCTTTTAATAATGTTAATATCACTTAAAATTAATTAATTTTGTTAGGAACGTTCAATACACGAAATATTCAAAATCTAGCCGTTAAAAAGAATTGAACGATTTGTGTCAGTGATATTTGACTCTTATATTTTTAATTACGCAATTTTCATTGTTTATCGACATTATGTTACACTTAGTGAAATGAAGTAATTTAAAATACACTTAAAGGATTGCTCCTGTGAAAAAAAAGATTCAAAACTAGTAGCATTTGAGTGATTATTTGTGAACGTTTAAATTCTGCTAGAATTGTGTAATTTTTTCAGCGAGTGCGACAAATTTTTAAAAATAAAGTCGTTATGAAAAATAACTGCTATAAAACAATTCAAATATATAATGACAGTTGTCTTTTGCTATAAAAATAAAAATTTCAAATTTTAGCATAAAAATCGTTAAATATTGAACAGTTAAACATATTAAAGTAATAAATTGTGTAATTAAGGTGAAAAAGAATATTATATTTAAAAAAAATATAGTCAAACAAATTGCACAATACATTTGAAACATGCGAAACATCAAACCACCCCCAACACACGATTTTCGCATCACTTTATTCGATTTCGAGGGGTTGAAGAATTTCCCAACTCAACATTACGTATGTATCAGTCGTAAAATTTTTCTGTCGAGGGTTGGATGGGAAGAAAAGTCCCTTTGTAGCTCTCATTCGAGATTTTATCGAATGGCAGAAAATTTTTATTTTAAATTTTATTTTGTTTGTTCGCGATTTAAAGTTAAGTTTTGATTGTGTTCGTTATAGCGAAAAGTGTAATAAAACGAATTTAATTAAAATTTTTTGTAAAAGAATTTTCCATTAAGGACTAAATTAAAGAAAGAAAACTTTTCTGTGGAAAAATCGAAAAAAAAGGTGACAAAGAGAAAAAAATTATTTAATAATTATGTGGAATATTGTGAGCTGAAATTGGACTTAAAGTGCATAATTCATTATTAAAATTTTAATAAAAACTAATTCAAAGTGTTCAAATTGTTGAAGATTATTGAATAATCGAAAAAATAAAATTCATGAAAATTAGCGAAAAAAGAGGAAAATCCTCATGCACTAACACATCCATAACTTTGTGTATATAGTGAAAATATACGGCCAAGAAGAAAATGAAAAATTTCTACACACAACATCTATTCTATTATTTTAACGTGTGTCTCGTGTGTTAACAGATGAAAAATATCCCTTCCATTCATCCCATTTTCTATTTCTATCATCAAAAATTGAAAAAGTTATCCAATTGCCAAAAAATAATATTTATATGGAAATTTTATGTTTCCAATTTTCCCTTAAATGTGAATCAACCCCCCTCAATAGTCAATTGTATTGTCCACTATTTGCATCTATTACTCATAAACTTTTCAAAGAATTTGTCGGTATTTAATTTACATAAGAAAGGAAAAAAAAAACAATAAAAGCAATTATTAGTGCTATCTTATTGCTGATCCTCGACCATTAATTTACTCTTGGCCATTTACCCTCGTTCATATTTTATGCCGCATTTTTTATGGAGTTATTTCTACTATTCAAAACATTTTGTCATTTTGTGGTTTTAAAATTGATATTTAGTTGATTTGTAGGGGAATGATTTATGAAAAAGGTAGTATGACCTACTTTTGCCACTTTTTTGAGAAAGATTGTCGATAAAGATTTCTTTTTGCAAGCTATACTGCAGAGAAAATTGCAAAAAACTTCTTGAAAAGGACAATTTTCATTTGCATAGCTTTTTATTGCAAAACACTGAATTAGAACTCTTAATCTGCGTAATTAACTAAATTTTATAGTTAATAAAGCATTGTTGATAGTTGATGTCTATTTGATTATTGAAAAATAGTACATTGAGGCTCTTCGATACTCTATAAAAGTTGTTTATTTATTATGTAAGGGGCCATTCACTTATTACGTAACGATTTTAGGGGGGGGTCTAAGATTTTGTTACGGTTCAAACAAGGAATTTTTTTTTCATACAAATTTTGTTACGAGGGGGGGGGGTCTTAAAAGTCATTTTTTCGCGTTACGTAATAAGTGAACAGCCCCTAACGCAAAAATGAATTTCAATTCAGCTTCTTAATTATTGAGCGTTCCCACAGCTCAATACTCAACAAATTCTTCTACTCGCTCTTTCTTCTTCCACTTCCTTGCCTCTTCAAACATAAAAAACTGTTTCACAAGCTTGATACTAACTTTATTTCGTTCTATATTTATTTTCGTTTGTTCAACAGCCAAAAACTACCGAAAATAATAAAAGAAATTGAGAAAATGAAGCTCGTGCTGAAATGAATGATAATTCAATACCCTTAATAAAAGAAGCTAAAAGGATTATGCCAAAATTGTTGGCACAAAATTTTGTTTTCATTTCCCATAAAAAAAATTGTAAGTGAAGAAACGAAAATGTTTGTCTATAAAAGGCCATAGAACAATAAACTTGTGTTGTAAATGCTTAAATTCAATTAAATAGTATTAGTGAACCTGAAGAAAACTCACTCAATTATTGAAAAGGATTTAATCGAACAAGTAATTCAATAAAATTAGCCAAAAAAAGGGACTAAGACGATATAAGAGTAAAGGATTTACATCAATATTATATCGATCGTAATAGGGGATAGTGCAATAGAGAGAGAATCAAAGATGCAGAAGGAAAACAAAGCACCAACCGATACACATCAATATGTGGGGCCATATCGGCTTGAAAAGACACTCGGCAAGGGCCAAACTGGTAAGTTAATGTGCTTAATTTTTTTTGAGCAGTGTTGTTATTTGGCTGGTTGTCTGGTCTAGATAGAATGAAACTTAAGATTGTTCATAGTAGAGATGATGTCATTGAAACCTAGATAATCACGCAGACACCTTTATTTGGACATCAAAATGGAAAAAGGATAGTATCTAGACCAGAGTTGTAAGAAAGGTACCTTTGAAAAGGTTCCTCAACGGAGCATGGTAGCTTTTGCCTTTGTCTGGTCAACACCTAGGTATAGGCAAGCCTAGCTAAAGGCAAAAAAGTGTGTCTAGTCAAAGGTACTGCCTAGCTAAAGACAGAGCCTTTGTAAGATTAAATCTACTATAGAAATTGCCTTTTACCTTTAGTCTTACTCGTTGAGTTTTTGAACAATAATGCAAAATTTCTTTTGTTTGAACCATTGAAAAACTATAGACCCCCTCCAAATGACTGAAACGTCGAATTTTGATTTATCCAAAGCGACAAAATTTTTGATAACGACAAATTAACTTTTTTAAATTCTCGACGTAGCAAATTATTGGTTTAAAAGAAGGTATGATTCACTATTATGCTCAAATAAATTCAAATTAAGAAAAGAAGATGTTTTAAATTTAAAAAAAAAACTCAACGAGTAAGACTAAAGGTAAAAGGCAATTTCTATAGTAGATTTAATCTTACAAAGGCAGTGCCTTTGGCTAGGTATTGCCTTTGGCTAGGTTTTGCCTTTGACTAGGCACACTTTTTTGCCTTTGGCTAGGCACACCTATTTCTAGGTAATGCCTTTGGCTAGGTATTGCCTTTGACTAGGCATGTCTAGGCAAAGGCAAAAATTTCTGCCTATACAAAGGTAATGCCTGGGATAGAATTTTGCCTTTGATAGGAATTCGATAGGTGACAACTCTGATCTAGACATTGTCTTATAAGATAGTGTCTAAATCAAAGTCAAGAGGGTTAGAAATGTCTAAACTCAAGAACATCATGTCTGCGTCAAAATTAACACATCATGTTAAAGTCAATGATCCTCTTCTGACCTAGTAACATCCAGTTTAGCAACACTGCAAATGTTAATCCTTTAAAAGCTTACATGATTTAAATGCAATCACAATATTTTATGTAAATACTTTACGGTTGTTGGTCCATTAAACTTAATGTGTAATCTTACCATTTTACTTCTCTAATCTTATTCTCATGTCACGCTTTCATTCAAATTCAAAAAAAAAATTCATTCCATTGCCAATGTTTGCGATAATTTGTCATGAACATGCAATTGAATCTCGTCAAAGAAGTAATGATTATTTTTTTCTTGCTCTTCCTACATTGCAATATTGATGGGGGAATTCATGATGAAAATGTCTTGTGCTATTATTCCCCGGATAGTCGAGTTTTGCTATAACCATTAAATCTTGGAAAATAAATTTTTATGGGATTTAATGGGTGGGGTTGAAGAAGTGCATTGTTAAGCACAGAATCTGAATGAGTCATGATGTAAGAGTCTATTTTGTAGGGATTTTTGATTGTGGGAGTCAATTTGATGTTTCTTTTGAGGAAGGTTCATCATGAATGACAGGATTGGGGTCAAAAGGTTATTGAACTACTTGCAAAGTTGAATTTGAAGTTGGTGTAAGTTTTCTGCTAGAGTTTGGAGTACGTTGACAATAGGATCTACTAGGATCAATCAAATATTATGTCCTAGTTCCATGGAACCGTTTAAATGTTCAAAATAAATAAATCATCCAGTAAAATTGCATGATAGGTGTGAGTATATTATGAGCTTCGGTCTTGCAAGTACTTATTGGCAGGCAAACCTAAATATTGCTTAGACGTCCGACATTTAGGGGGGGAGGGGGGTCTAGGATTTTGTGACAGTTCAAACAATGGAAATTATTTTTCTATAGAATTTTTGTGACAGAGGGGGGAAGGGGGGTCTAAAAATCAGGTTTTTTGATGGACGTCATAAGTGAACAAACCCCCTAGAAGATCTTAAACGTTCACAATTTTTCAGTGAAACGTTTAAAAAACCAGGAGAATCATAAACACTCACATCAAAGTATCAATTTTACGACTGAATTTATTGATCCGACAAACTGCACCACCTCAATTCCTTATTTCAACAAAGAAACCTATAAAAATTATATAAAACGAATCATAGACAATGACAAAGAACGAGGAAAAGAAATAATTTTATTGCAAATGTACAACAGGACAAAGATGCCAGGTCAGCATGTTGTTTTTACTGTAAAACTTAATAGCAATTGCAGCGCATAAAAAATGTTCCTTCTTCCCCGCCCGTGCTCTTCCTTCTGATCTGTTATAAGTAAGCGATTTGCAGCATCAAATGTTTGTCTGGGTTGGGCAAAAATTATCATTAATAAAGGATTTTCAGCAAGAAATGTAAGTGGAATGGCAAGCAAGCATGTTGATATCGATTTTACTCTTCTTTGATGCCTCATTTCAATTGTTGTTGTAGCAAACATTCCATTCAACCATTTGATGTTTGTTCTTCTTACTCCTCCTTGTAATCGTTATTTTCCACTTATTTCCCACCGAATTTCATTTTATTTCTCTTTTTAAGAATACCAACAACATGCGTTTTGTAGTCGACTGACTTGCTCGATTCCTTTTGGTCTTGAGGGTGATTTTAAATGACGTCTTGTACATTTTGCATCTTTTCGGCGAACATATGCTCCGTTTATCTTGTTTATGAAGTCTTTGTTAATTCTCTGGTAGTCTCTAAGCAGCAAAACCCAACTGCCCTTTAATTTTGGATGTCCAAAGGACATTACAAGTGAATGACTCCCCTCAGAACTTTTATTATTTCATTTTCTTTACAGCCATTCCAAACTTGTGCGCTTGTATGTGTTTATAAAATCTGAGATTCTCATACATATGTTATGATATTGAATTGTTGGATACAAGCTTTGAATTAATTCATGATGCTTAAAAATTCTTTGAAAATTCTCTTCGGAAACTTTTTGGGATAATTAATTCAGACTCGTGATAATCAGAGGAATTTGTTGCTGAAACAAGCAGAAAATTAAGCATAATGCAGGTTAACATCTTGTTAAAATGAATGGAAATGCAATTAGTTTAATTAAAACCTTTAATTAATTCTGTTTTATGCGTTGCATACTTCATCCAAAGTAACATCTGCTTTTGGTTCCGTTTATCTTCAAACAATAAGATTTTCATGACCAGATATTCTACACAAAATGTTTCAAATGAAAATGTCGAAAGATAGTTTCAACATCCTGTTCTTTGATCATATTAATGAACTAAAACCTGCTCATGACAATGTCGACTCGAGAGCACTCAATTTGCCGTTCATCGAGCTGTTCTATTTCTTTGTATTTTATTTCTAATTCAACCTAATTGACCTTAAAGGCAACTCTTCTATTCTGTACATTGTAATCTATTTTTTGATATTAAGCTCTCTGTTGTCGGCTTATGTACTTTTCCAATGAACTATCCTATTCTGTTTTGTTTAATTTAGTGGGTAGATGGTAAATTTATTGGAGACAGCGTCTTAAGAAATGAGTTTTATGGAAGGACAGTTGTAGCTTACGTGAATGTGACATTGTTGCATAGAAACAAAAAACCAAAAACAATATAATCAAGATTCTTTATAGCTTTTTAAAGTATTAGGAAATTAAAATTTCAACCTAATAAGCCTCCAAATTTTTTGCAGCACAAAAACCAACAAAAAACTTACTGCTGCAACAATAAATCATTCGAGATTCTACCACAATAAAATATTGCATCATTATCTTAATGTCCCTAACTCTGGAAATGGAAATTTTATTCAAAAAAACTTAAAGTCATGAAAAACAGATTTTCTTCTTTTTTGCAGCTGTTCGAGGCATAACTTTTCAGTTTCCAAATTTAGAATCAGCATAAAAACTCACACAAGTCATTAGCTGGAAAATTCCCCAACAAAAAAAAGAGGATTTGCCTTTCCAATTTAAAATAACTTTAGATAACTGTTGATTCCAATGGTGCCATTAAAAATTCTTATTCGATATTTTTATTATAATTGGGGCATTATAGATTTTTTGGGACATTTTTGTTGCTTAATACTCTTCAGATGCTTGACAATTTATTCAAGATTATAATCGTCTTTATGCCTTACTCATTTCCCACAAGCACATCACATTTACACCTACACACTTTCACAAGTGGAAACTTTGTCTTAGTGTGATACATAACGGAGTCGACAAACAGTCTGAACTGCAAAAAGATGAAAGAAGAAGACTTGACTGAATTAATTTTTGTCGCTGCTATTTTCTTTCTCTTTCACTTTTAATTTGAAATTCAAATTTTTCCAGCTACTTCCCACTTCATGTCTGCTTGTTGGTTTAGCTTTTGTTTCCTCTTCTTCTTCTTCTTGCTTTATATAGTGTCATTGAGTGGCAAATGTTCACCTATTGACATTTTTTCCATTCAAGTGCAACTTTTATTAGCGATATATTAGTTGGTTTTGGTGTATATTAAATACAGTTTGGCAAAACAATGAAAAATTGTCCTTGGATGTTACTCAAGCCTTGAATTTAGCAAGATTATTTATAGTGGCTGAATATTAATTTTTAAATGAGCTTTAATCACGATTTTTTAAACAATTTGATGAAAAATTATGAAATAAAAAAAACTACAGCATCCTGACTCTAGTTAACAGGTTCTTACTACTTTTTTGCATCATTTTGACAACAAATACAAAAGTATACAGTCAAAATAAAGGAAAAGTCCAACAAAAACTTTTTCAAGTGACGAAAAACTCCATTTTGTTAAAATTTTCAAACCTAAAATACCGTAAACTTCAAACGGAAATCAAAGTGTTAAAATGCGCAGTTTTTCACACGTTCACTGGATGAAAGACTTACAATATTTAAATAGGAGAGAATTTTATGCTTAACGATTGTTTGCTATTCTCCTACTGTTGTTGCTGCTCTATTTCAAAAAGTTTTCCTTCCTACTTGCCTGCATAACACATTATGTATTAATAATGA